GTTGCTTCTTTGCCCAGGCGTCTTTGAGCCAATGAGGTCCTTCCCAGCCTCCTCACCTACAAATGAGGCTAATCGTGCTACCCCCTCATAGGGTGGTGGCCTGGCTAAAATGGGTTCTTGTAGTTACACAGGCCAACCCAGTACCTGAGAGAAGTAGGGACTTCAGGAATGGTTCTTATTATGATTAAAAGCCTGTGGTCCATTCTGGCTATTTCTTTCCTGGCTACACCATTAGCCTGGGTAGATCTGCTGTATGATCATGTTTTCCTGGTCATCACTGCTCCCTGCAAAACTATCTTGTGGCACATTCTTCAAGGACTAGATGAGGTCACAAGGGGCTGCCCGGTATGGTTGTGCAGGTTGCTCACTGGCTCAAGGGCTCTTAGCTAAGGAAATTCAGTTTATTCTCCTCCCCTTCCCCTGCCCACCAAAGCTGTGAGCCTTAGAAAAGTTCTGCTTCTTCCCGAAAGAAGCAACTTTCCTCATTTGTATAAAAATTAGAGCTAGGGGGTGCCTGGGTGGCTCAGTTGATTAAGCACCTGCCTCAGGTCATAATCCCAGAGCCCCATGTCATTGGGCTCCCTGCTGAGCTGGGAGCCTGCTTCTCCCTCTCCTTCTGCCACTCCCCCTATTGTGCTCTCTTTCTTTCTCTCAAATAAATAAAAAAAATCTTAAACAAAAACAAAAACAACCAGAGCTACAAAGCACTGGAGTCACCTATAGTGGCAAAGATTGGGCCACATGATGGCTAATTAGGTTTTGCCAATTCTAATCTCCTAATCAGTGCTTCTCAAACTTTGGCATGCACCAGAATTACTGGGAGGACTAGCTAAAACCCAGATGGTTAAACCTTGCCTCGGATCTTCCCATTCATTGGGTCTGGGGTGACACCTGTATTTCTTTTTTTTAATTATTTTTTAAAGATTTTATTTGTTTTAACACATACACACACACAGAGCATAAGCAGGGGGAGAGGCAGAGAGAGAAGCAGACTCCATCCTGAGCGGGGAGCACGATATGGGGGTCGATCTCAGGACCCTGGGATAAAGACCTGAGCCAAAAGCGGATGCTTAATCGACTGAGCCATCCAGGACCCATATTTCTAACAAGTTCTGGATAGTGCTAATGCTGCTGGTCCAGGGACCAAACTTTGAGAACCACTGCTCTGCCACTGAGCAAACCAGGCTGCACATTAGAATCACCTGGGAGAGCTTTAAACAGTGTGGATATCAAGCCTAACACCAGAGCAATTAAATCAGTGCCTCTGAGCAGGAGCCTGGGCTTTGTTATCATCTAAGCCTCCCCCAGGGTGATTTTTATGCTCTGCCAGGGATAGGAACCACTGTTCTAGAAAAGCAGCCAGGGATGTGACAGGACGTGGATTGGGCTAACTCACTATTTCCCTTTGGAGAAATGTCTTTCAGATCCTTCCCACTAGCGGCCTGGCTCTGAACAGCCTCCCTGAGCCTCAGTTTCCCCTTCTGTAAGTGGGGCTGTTAGGAGAACTAAATGGAACTCTGCCTCACTGTGTCTGCCCTCCCTTCCTCTTGTTTCCAAGGAGAGCTTGTGCATCGCTTCTGCTCTGAGGCTGTAGAGCTGCACACAATTCAATAAGCATTTATTAAAAACTCACAACGTGTAAGATGCTGCCCTTAATGATGTGAGACTACAAAGATGAATCAGGCTCTGTCCCCACTGCAAGGAGCTCACGTGTTAATGGGGATGATGAGGCATGTGTCCAAAATGTAAGAAGGATGTGACACAGGCCATAAAGGAAGTAATCATGGTGAAGGCTACTGTATGCAAGGGCCCCAGTGTGAGGCACTTTATAGTATATTTTAATCCTCCCAACAATGCATAAGATAGTCACTATAACACCCACTTTACAGGTAAAGAAACTGAGGCTGTAAAGGAATGGTTTGGGTTTGTTTTTGTCATGGGATCCCAGAAGAGGATGCCACTCACACCACTGGAAAGTCTAGGAGGGTTTGTGGGGAGAGGTGTAAACACCACACTTTGAGGGATTTGTAGAAGTTCACTGGGTAAAGATAGGGAAAAAGTTATCCCAGATAGAGGGATCTGACACACAAAGGCCTGGAGGAGGGAAATCCCAACTTCTTCAGGGACCTGGAGGTTGTTTGATTTAGCTGAAATACAGGCTGATGGTGGGACATGATGGGGGCTATATCCCAGTTAGACTTTGCACGCTGGACTCAGGAGTTTAGATTTTATGTCTTGAGCCATAACAACTCTTGAGCAGGTGGCAGCATATTTTTGAAAAAGATTAAAGTGGTCATGGATTATGAGGGGGGGATACAGAGGCCCCAGTAAGCGAGGTGATAATGGCAACAAATGGGCCACGTGAGATGGTGAGGCGAATGGGCAAGGGATGGAGGATAGGACAGCGGGGACACTGGGAAGTGTGCTGTTGCCACGTGAAGCTTCTTTGGGCATCGATCCCTTATGTGCACCTGCTTATTGACTAAGCCATTCTGCATTTGAGGAGGGGCAGGGGTAGGGGCAGGAGCAGGTGGGTCTCCCAGGGCCGGGCCGCTCCGTGTGCAGCAAGGCTCAAGACATGGTCCATAGAGCATGACCGGCTGAGTGGAGGATGGGGCTGAAGCAGCAAGTAATGGGTCTTGGGCCGGCTCAGAGCTAGCCGCCTGCCACATTTCCTGGATGAGAGTGGGAGAACTGGCCCGATGGCCTGAGTGCCTCTGATCTCAGCCTTTCTGGGGAAGCATGACACCCTGCCTGCCTCGTGCTGTCAAGCTTACAGCCAGCTCAAGGCTCCCAGCCTCTGTGTGCTGAGCACAAGCCCTCCTGGGCTGAAGCCAGTTCCTAGAAGCAAAGTCTGGATGTGGAAAGTGCCGGGCTGGGATACTGCCACTTGCTGGCTGGGTGACGTGGGGCACATCCCTTAGCCTTAGCCCAGGTTGCACATCTTCTGATGGGGGGATTAAACACAATCAAGTAATGGAAGTGCCACACACTCCACCTAGTCCTTCCTCCACCTGCCCCACCTTCTCTGGTTGACATTCCTACAGAATCTCAAGACCACACAGGGACAAAGCAGAGCAAGCCACTTTCTATAATCAAAGTCTATTTCAGCACTTTTGTCACTGTGGACCTAGCACATCGTACCCATTTTATAGGCGACACAACCAAGGCCCAGAAGAAAGCACAAGCGGAGTTTCCTTAGCTAAGTGTCCTTGAGCTGTACAACCACACAACCATACAGGGCAGCCTTTTGTGACTCCATCTGGTCCTTGAAGACTGGCCAGCCATGGAAACATGATTGGCCCAGGGCCAAATATTTGAGGGGCTACAGGGGCAGGACTTGAAAGTCAGTCTCTCACGGAGGGGAGCTGGCCCCTCAGCTTGGTGCCTCCACTGAGAGGTGGGAGGATAGGTCTGGTAGAGGAGGGAGGATTGGCAGACACGCTCAGGTCCCGGGTTCTGCAAGTGATGGACTGGTCTCTGGCTGATACAAAATTCGGCTTGATACACAGTGCGCGCGCCTTCACCGCATCACACAGTGAGAATCTTCTCTTTCAGCCTCCTGAAAGCATGATGGAAGAAGTCCCCGGTGGGTGCTAATAGGTCTTTAACACCTCTCCAAACTTCTTCGCCCGTCTCCCTTCTTTCACTGGGGGCACATCTCAAGCTTCGGCACGCCAGTTCTGCACTAGAATTTAATAACCTTGGTTTGTTTCCGTTGTGTTTATTTTTACTCTTACCTTCTATTTATGGCAAGTGATACTGGCTTCCCATTTAAGGCAGTGATATAACGATCCTCTAAAAAAATGTGTTGGGGGGAGAGCGGGTCTTGAACTTAAGAAAATACTAAGAAATAAGTGGTGTCTAGGTATGGCCCAATAGGAACGACGGCAGTCTGCCCTAGTTCAAGGCGGGGAGACTGGAGGTGGGGGCCCAAGGCGGCGGCTTATCCGCAGCGAGGCTCTCTCTGCAGTGCTCTCCCCGCCCTGCGCGCACAGACCTGCGCCCCGGCGGCGGGAGGCCAAGGTGCCCGCCCCCCCCCCCCCCCCGGCGGCACGTGCGGGGCTCACGCGGGCACCCGCAGGGCATCGGGCATTTCCGCGATGGGGGAGGGCGCGGGGGTCCCGGGCGACCGGCGGCCGGCGCGGTGAGTGCGCGAACGCGCGTGCGGACGTCGGCCTCCGAGGCTCGCGGCGCGCCCCCCGCCCCCGGCCCCCGGCCCCCGGCCCCACGCGCCAGGGCACGCGGAGCGCCCGGCTGCGGCGCCGCGCGGCGGGCGGGCGGGGCCGGGCCGCGGGACCCGCCGCCCGTTGGCCGAGCGCAGCGCCGGGACCGGGCGCGGGGGAAGGCGGGCGCGGGGCGGCTGGACCCGCTGCTCGCGGGCCGCGGAGGGGGCGGGGGCGGGGGGCGCCGCGCGGCGACGGCTCCGCGGGGGGACGATCGCAGGCGCGGCCGGGAGCGCCCGGGCCCGGTGGGCTTCTGCGCTGGGCCCGCCCCCGGGAGGCCGGGCTGCGACCGCTTTCCGGAGGGACCCTCGACCTCGCCCCGCCGGAGAGGGGGGCGTTCGCCTCCAGGAGAGGGAGGGAGGGAGGGAGGGAGGAGCTTGGGCCCGCAGAAAGTTCGCCTCCTCCGAGGGCCGGAGGAGGCGAGGTGGGAGGACGCGCGGGTTTCAGGCTAACTCGCAGCTACGTGCGAAACCTTGGGGCGGCGTTCAAGGCCCCCTCCCACACGCGCGCGGAGCTGAGCGCCCTGCTCCTCCTCCAGCTGCTGGCGTCGCCTCGCAGGGAGAAAGGAGCCGACCGCGCGGCGCGGGGAGAGCTGCAGAGCCGCAGGCAGGCGAGGAGGCCGCGGCGCGCCGGGCAGCACCCCCAAACCGAGCGACCCCGTCTGGCGCGGGCGGAGGTGGCACAGGGGGCCAGCCCGGGTTCGCCCACTCGGGACGCGCACACACGCGCGCACCCGCCGGGACCTCCAGGGACCCTCGTTGAGCCCCGGAGTCGCCCCTAGCGCCCTCCCCCAGCCCCGGAGACCGAGGCGGGGACCCCGGGATCGGACGTCCCCGCGCCTCCGGGCACCTGGCTCAGCAGGAGTCCCCCGGGCCGGGGCAGGGCAGGGCCGGCGGCGGCGAGCCCGAGCCCGCCCGGCGCCCAGGCCCCGCCGAGCCCTCGGAACCCACCCATGGGGCACCGGCTCCCCACGTCCCCTCGCCCGGCCGCGCCCAGCCCGGCGCCCGGAGCCGCGCAGAGGAGGAGCCCGGCGCAGTGACCGAGGAGCCGCTGGAGACTCTGGAAGCCGCGGCGGCGGCGGCGGCGGCGGCGACCAGACAGGCAAGCGGTTCCCCGCGGCTCCAGGCGCTTCCAGGCAGCCCTCCAGGCTGTGCCAGAGGCCCAGCCCGCCATTCTCAGGTAGGAAAGAGACACCCCAACAGAGCCGAACCGGGGAGCTGGCTGAAATGGGGGAAGCCTGGAAGAAACGTTTGAGGCTTGTGGGGGGAAGGCCAGAGGAAGCTCTACATGACTCGAAAGCTTTACATGACTTTACATGAAATGAAAGTTAAACTGATCGAGCACCTACTACTGATAGGCGACTTTATATATCTGGAGAAAATGGAATTAGGTGAGCACCTACTATGTGTCAGGCTGAGTGCTAGGCCCTTTACTTAGTCCAGGTAGGAAAGACTTACTGAGCTGCTACTATGTGCTAGATGTGTTGCTAGGAGCTTTCCATTTAAGGGACCTAGGGCAAAAGCCATTTAAATATTAGGACACAGGCTCAAGGAGGAGAGAAGATTAAGGAATACCTTTCTGTCCAGTGTTCCTTGAGCTTTTTTTTGAGGGGTGGGGGTTGGTGCAGGGAATAGGTTTCCTGGACACTTCTTTTCCCTGGAAATGTTTCCTGTATTCAGCTGGCCCAAGGGCCTGCAAGTACCTCCAAAGGGCTCTCTCTGACCTCTCCTCCCTTTGCCCCCAACCCTGGGAGGGTGACGAAGGATGTTCAGAATTCATGGCAGATAGGAAGCCAGGCTGGGAAGGGACAGCCAGCTCAGGAGCCCATGATTCAGGCTTATCCTGGCGTCACAGTGACAAGATGGGGTCCCCCAGGTCCTCTGCCCGCACTCTAGTCTCACCCCACCTGGCCATTCCAGGTGGCCCCTTGAATGCCAAGACGGGATGCCTCAAAGGAACTCTCTTGCTGTGTGCCAGGAGCTGTATTAGCCTCTTGACTTCTCACTGAACAATCTTGGCCACTGCACGGGTTTGTTTCTATGATACCCCTTTGATAGATGACCAGCCTCACCAGGCCAGACCATTTGCCCAAGGGCGCTGAGCTGGTGAGAGGCAGGGCTGGTCCTCTGGAAGCCAATGCCTGGCTGCTTTCTACCATCCCGAGCTGCCCAGGGAATAACGTGTGTGTCCAGAGAGGCTGGCATGTGTGCTGATGGAAGAGGCTTGAGGTGTGTGGGAGGGATGGGGGTGGGGTGCCGGTGCAGTGGAACAAGCCTGGGGGACTCACAGGGAGAAGGACCTGTCCAGACTCTTGTCCTGATGTCCATCTGATCCCCTCCATCTTCCAGGCAGGCCCTGGGCGAGGGGCTTAAGGGAGAAGTAGGGGGAGAACCCCCAGATGCCTTTGGCTGGGAGTTGGCTGGGCAAGGTTTGGGGGTGAGTCCCGGGCAGAGTGCCTGCCCCCAGCTGCGTGTGGGGCGGGAGAGGGAACCAGAATATAATAGGCCTCAGGGGTCATTCCTCTGCCTCACACCAGCTGAGGCTTCACTGAGTCAGACACTGTTTTGAAAAAGACTGGTTTTGGCCAGGGGGTAGGCTTTTATAGAGGTGAGAGCCCAGGCTTTGGAGCCCAATCAGCCTAATTGTAATCCTGGCTTGGCCGGTAGTCTGCGTGAACTGGGGCAAGTGACTCAGCCTCGCGGATCTCCAGTGTCCCCATCAGTCCAGTGGATGGATGATGGGCTGCTCTTGACTGGACTGTGGTGCAGTCATTGGATTGTGGGACACAGAGCACCCAGCATGACGAGAGCTCGCGTGGCGTGGCTACGGCTACTGTTTCCCCGAGGGGGCTCCACTCTCTCAACGCCCTGGGACTTTCTGCCTCCCGGGTGCCCTAAGAATGGCTCCAGGGTGGGGTCAGCTGAGAGTCCCAGAACTCGCATGTGGGTTCCTGTGCTGCCAGTGGTCCTGTGTCCCCCAACCACCGTCTGAGCCTCTAGGGTTGGGCTCAGGGCTTGAAGGGCCCCTGGCACTCTGATGTCCGTCTGCCCGGCGCAGCCTGGGGGCGGCCTGGCCGAGGATGGAGAGAGGACAGCAGGCAGTGGAGGGGAGAGGCTATGCCCACAGCTGCCCGCAGGGCCTCCTCTGGGGGAGGGGAGGGAAAGAAGATGCGGGAGCAGGTGGGGCTCGAGGCAGCCCTGTCACCTGGCGTCCAGGTGTCTGGGAGTCTCACGCAGCCCCACGTGCCTCTGGCCATGTGAAGACTCACAGTCTTCTCTCGGGGAAGAAAGCCACTACCTCCCCGCCCCCCTTTGCCTCTTTTTCTGACACCCTGTCTCCTCCCTGACTCTCGGCCTCTTCTCTCTGACTTCCTCAGACCCGTTCAGCCACCGATCCTAGCATGTCTGTACCAGGAACTCCGGGCTGGAAGCTGGGCAGGCACTGATGGAGACAAACATGGTCCCCGGGGGCTGCTGGCCTCCTTCCCTCTCTGTCTAAACAGAGGTGATCACAGCAGAGTCAAGCTCCCTGCAGAGGGGCTGGGGGGGGTGGCGCTGTCATGGTGTGGGGCCAACCCTGCTGCCCCCCATCCATCTCCCCTGAAGGCCCAAGCTGGCTTGCCAGCCCCAGAGGAGACTGAGAAGCCTTCAGCGCTTTCCCCACTGGGCACCCACAGGTGTGTCCAGAGCACAGAGACACTCAGGGCAGCACCTGGGTCAGCCAGGCCAGGGGTGCGGGGTTGGGGATCAGGACCTCAGAAGGAAGCTTCCGGTGAGCTCCAAAGGCAGACCTTTTTGCTTCATTCATTCATGGATCATTTATTGAGCACCTGTTGTGGTGTACCTGGCATTGAAATCCTGTGGGATAACTTGAGAGATGGCTGCAGGCATGAATTAGGTGGGGAGGTGGGGGTCTTAGTCTCAGAGTCACCATGCTGGCTCCTTTATTAACAACACTGACCAGTCATGGAGTCTTTTAAGTATCAGGTTCTTTATTTGTGAAATGGGCAGATAATATCTTCCTCGCAGGGAGGTGGTGAGGAGGCTCCCCTGCGTGGGGCAGACTGCCTGGGCTCAGATCTCTCCTTCGCTGGTTCCTGGCTGTGTAACCATGAGTGGTTAACTTAATTTACCTCTGTACCATCCCCTGTAAACTAGGGTAACACCACCTACCTTCTGGGGTTACTGAGAGCTGGAGCGAGGGGTTACACGTTCAGCGCTTAGAACACTCTGGCATATATTGGCTGCAAGGTAAATGTCAGCTCCCCTTATTGTTCTAAACTTAGCACAGTGCTCGGCACACGGCAGGGGCTTGGTTAGTGGTGATTGCCAGGGCTCCAGGCTTAGGGTCGGCAGTGTGCTGAGCGGCTTATTGTGTGCATCTGTTGGCAATTCATTCGTTGAGATCCTCTTGGTAGCTTGCAATTGGCCATGGGGGGAATGTGTGTGCCACAGAGGTTGATAAACGCTACCAATAAAAGCTTTCTAAAAAGGTATTTTTGAGAGCTGGTGTGCTGCACAGTGGCTCTCCCTTGGGCATGGCGAGCAGATACAGATGCCTGAATGCCCTGAACAGGATGGACGCCAGGAGACTCACACACAGGAGGTCTCTCCACCTCCGGTCTCTTGCTATAATGGCAGACAGAGAACATTCTGATGTTGGAGAGAGCCTTGAGGTGAGTGGAGGAGGCATTCCAGGCTCCCGAGCTGGAACAGCCAGGGGTGGGGACCAGTGGGAGCTGGCATGTACAGCTCCCAGTGCACGTTGAAAAAAGGTGCCTTCTCTGGGCAGATGAACTCCACCAAGACAGCCCCCACCTTCCCACCCAGCTGGGTGCCTTGTGCAGTGCCCAGCCTGCACAACTGTGTGTGGCAGCAGGCTGAGGGCAGAGGGGAATCGATATTCCAGCAGGCCTGTATCCATTTGTAGTTCCTCTTCTCTAGAGAGGGGAGGGATTCCTGCTGGGGTGGGGTGGGGTGGGGAGCCAGAGAAGCCTTCAGAGAGGAGGTGGTATATGAGCCAGGCCCTGAAACATAAAGAGAAGAGGGTGTTCTGGCAGAGTGACTAGCACGAGCTAAGAAGTGGAGGCAGATCTCAGCAGAGCTCCAAAGGAGCGGTGGGCTCAGGGATTGTCAGCGGATTCTGCTGGGTGCTGACCTAGGGAGGGAGGGTGGCGGGGCTGTGGCTGCCTTTGGGGTGGGCCTGCTGGGGCCCTGGGGGTTATTTATTTCCATTTGGGCTTTGGGGCCGGGACCCTTTGCAGTCTCTTGCACAAGGCCAAGAAGTCCCCCTGGAAAGTGAGGGGTACACCCCAGAGCCACGAACCCTTGGAGCTCTGAGGAACTTGGGTTGTTCATGGGTCCTTTCTCTGCCCCACATCCCCTAGTCCAGGCCTCTGGCTCTCCTGGAAGTGAGCAAACCCCCAGGGCCTGGGGGTGAAATCACTGGGCCCTGGGTGGGGAGGATGTGGTCTGGATGTGGCCTTTTCCCTGATTCCGGGAAGGGCTGAGAGGCCGCCGCACCCCCAGGCCTAGCGCCTTCCCCAGGTCAGGCCCTGCAGTCACAGTCCGGGGAGACCAGAGTGGGAGAGGACCAGGGAGGGCTCAGGTTCTAGCAGGAGTTAACGTTTTGTGGCCTCACCATGTGCAACAGCCCCTTTTATAGACAAGACAAGTGACTCCCAGGGAACATAAGTGACTTGCTCGCCCAGGAGCAGTGCGGAGGTGGGGTGAAGCGAGGAGGAAGCCCCCTGGCCGTCCTGGTCCAGAACAGACAAGGGGTGAACAGACGCCAGGGCAGATGAGCGCATGTGTGGCAGGTGGATGAGGAGGAAGGAGGCGGGAGAGGCCATGAATGAAGGGGCGGGTGGAGCTCGAGGCCTGCTAGAGCCCCCCCGAGTCTAACGTGCCCATCTTACAGGCCGAAAACGCACGCCTGGACCGGAGCCACGCAGAGGAGGCCAAGGCTGCCAGCAAGAGGCTGCAGGGCCGGGTCCAGGGCCTCCTGACGCCTGCCCCCCGCTCCGCGCCGCAGACCCGAGCCATGATGAAGACCGTGTCCAGCGGGAACTGCACGCTCAGCGTGCCCGCCAAGAACTCGTACCGCATGGTGGTGCTGGGCGCCTCGCGCGTGGGCAAGAGCTCCATCGTGTCCCGCTTCCTCAACGGCCGCTTCGAGGACCAGTACACGCCCACCATCGAGGACTTCCACCGCAAGGTCTACAACATCCGAGGTGACATGTACCAGCTGGACATCCTGGACACGTCCGGCAACCACCCGTTCCCTGCCATGCGCAGGCTCTCCATCCTCACAGGTGGGTGCCCGGGGTGGGTGTGGGCGCCGGATGGCCCGCAGGGCGCTGTGCGTGTCTGCCGCCTGTAGGGAAGCTCCTGGTGAGGCCCCTGGCACCCTTGAGGGTCAGAGAGGGTTGCTGCCCAAGCGGGGCCCCGAATTCCGTTCTGTCTGGCTGTGGATCGAGAACCGCAGCGCTGCCTTTCAGGTCCGGAGTGAGTCCCTGGCTGTCTGGTTCTTACCCTCCACTGCTGAGCTGTCCCCTAGTCTCGTGGCCCTGCTGGGAATGGTGGGGAGGGAAGGCAGATGGTCCAGGGTTCGGAGGGGGCGGTGGAGACGTGGGACTGGGCCATCATTTGCATTTACTCAGGCAGCTTTGCGCGGTGGCTGAGAGGGCAGGCCAGAAACCGTCCGCCTGGGCCAGCAGCTCCCTGGCTTTGTACCTCCGGGCAAGTGACTTTATCTGTGGCTCGGTTTCCTCCCTGTGAGAGCATCACATCGGCGCCCACCCCCCAGATCACTGTGAAAAGTAAAGGAGTTAATACAGCGGAAGTGCTTGGTGAACGGATAGTAAGTGCTCAGTAAACCCTGGTCTTAAGTCGACCCAGCGTCTAGAGTGCCTGGTCCGGGCTATGCAGTCCTTTCCTAAGCTGCACTTCTCCCACTGCTGGTCAGTGATGATGGGGAGGAATGAGCAAGTACCCCCGTTTCCATCACTAAAATAACCCCCCAGATGGAGATGCACTTGCACCAAGCAGCCTACCGGGCATGCACTCCCGCCTCCGCAATCTGGCCACGCCCCCTCCTGGAGCCCCTGGGGCAGGTGGCTTCTTCTTGTAGGCTGTCCTTGCTGACCATCGACCCAGATCACACCCCCGGCCCCATATTTTGTAGAGGCAGTGTGTGAATGGAAGGAGCCCTCGGTTGACCTGGGCCCCAGTCCTGACTCCACCACTTGGGAGTTCCAATGTGTGACCAGAACTCTGAGTCTCAGTCTCCCCAGCTGCACAGCACACATCAGCTTGCTTCACCCCTTCCCCCCACCCTGTGTGGCTGTGGGGACCCTCCCGGAACATGGTGGGTGTTGCAGGGATGTCAGCTCTCCTTGCCTTGGGGAGGGGACTGGGTGCCCCCCAATATAAAACAGGCTAATATCAGGGGCACCTGGGTGGCTCAGTGGGTTAAGTGGCTGCCTTCGGCTCAGGTCACGTCTCAAGGGTTCTGAGATTGAGTCCTGCATCTGGTTCACTGCTCGATGGGGAGCCTGCTTCTCTCTCTCCCGCTGACCCTCTCCACCGCTGGAGGGTTCTCTCTCTCTCATGTATACTCTTTCTCAAGTAAATAAATAAAATCTTTTTAAAAAAATAAGGCTAACATCAGAGGGAGGGAGGGAGGGAGGGAGGGAGGGAGGTGTGGAGGAGGACCGTGTGCATATTTCCAAAATTAATTTTTAATGATACCAACGATATGCAAACATACCCTCCTGTAAACACGGATAAGGCTAAAGATGCCCCCTTGACGTGTGTCCCCAACTGCAGGCTCCCATCCCCTCCCTGGAGGCGGCTGCTCTATCGGTCCGGTGGGGACATTTCCGGACCCCCCACAAACACACTGACCTTTATATTTGAATCATCTTTGTAACAGGGAGGGCTTTTGTCCATCTCTTTTGAACGTGCACTTACGATTCGGAGCACATCTGTCTGCTGCTTGCTTGCTTCTTTTCACTCCCTAGCCAGTGCCTCATTTTCCAACCTGGTGCTGGTGCGCAGGAAATTCTGAAAGCCATTAATTCTGCTGCCAGCACTCTTTCCAGCTGCCAGCCAGGCTGTCTCTGAAGCTTGGCATCGCGGTCTTGCATTTGAATATGTCAAGGCCGCCGAGTCCTCAGGGGCCCGGGATTAGCCTAATGGGACAGGGGGTTGGCAGGTTGGCAGCCCAGATAGGCACAATTGCCAGGCAGGGGCCACCTTGCAAGTGCTTCTCTCAGTGGCCCCCACCCCTATTCTTCCCATCTCATCCCACACTTTCACCCAGCTTTATGGACACCCACTGTGTGCTGGGTGCTGGGAGACGAGGTCAAGGTGACACTGTCTCTCTCCTTCTGCCCCAGAGCACACGGTGAAGGGCATACCATTGGCCGGAGCATGGTTCTGATTATGGCATGTGCTGTTATGGGGGGACAAATGGTGTGCCCCGGGGGTCCCCAGAGAGGAGGCAGCCATGCTGCCAGAAGCTAGACTTGTTGGATTCTCCTCTCCAGAATGCAGGCCAGTCACCGACACTACTGAGCTTCAGTTTCCTTATCTGGGAGACAGGGATTTTTGACATCTCCCCACAGGTTCTTAACGAGTTGAAGCCAAAGTTTGAGCATGAGCTTGTAACCCCTGTGCTAACATCCGGAGATGCAGGCACTGCCCACTTGCTCGCCCCGCCACTCCCTGCGACCCCTGTGTGGCCTGTTTCACACCCAAAGACCTGCCTTGAGTGACGCAGTGAGTTGAAGCAGGGAGTCTTGGAGGCTAGCACTCACTCATCCCTGATTTATTCAAGAAGCAGAGAGCACCTGCGTATGCCAGGCACTGGCTGGGCAAGAACAGTAGCAGGTCAACATCCTGGCCTAGCCATGTTCACGCTGTGTGGTCTTGGACAGGGTGTTCACCCTTCCTGAGCCTCTTTTTGCTCACCTATACCAGGAAGCAGAGGTTTGGGGAGGAGTCTGGGAGGAAAGTCCGCATGAGGCACATGTCCCACCCTGGCTCTCGATACCTCTGAGCATGTGTCACTTCCCATTCATTATCTGGTGAAGAAGCTCTATTTCATCCACATGGGGCAGATGGGGAAAACTAAGGTTTAGAGAGGGCCTGACCTGCCCCAGGCTGCGCGGCCAGCAAGCGGCAGGGGCCAGATGTGAACCTTAGGCCAGCCAGGTGCCAGCACTCTGAGTTCCTACGATTCCAGGCCTGGGTGATGTGCATGGAACAAATCGGGCAAGACCCCTACAGTCATGAAAATTATATTTATTAGTATTATTCTAACATAGTCTACACAAATTCGCAAGCCACTCACTCCATCTCCAGCTCTGCAGGGAAATGTTGGGGGAATTAACTGTGTCTGAGCCAGGCTGAGCCACACATTAGCGACATGACCTTGAGCAAGGGCTTTAACCCTCTGGGTCTCAGCATCCTGCCCTGGAAAATGGGGAGAACAGTGACTGCCCCACAGGCTGGTGGGAAGGGTTGAGTCAATGACTGGGAGGGGTTGGTCAGGAACCCCCGTGGCCTCACTGCCTGGGGTCTCTCTCTCCACAGGTGATGTCTTCATCCTGGTGTTCAGCCTGGATAACCGGGAGTCCTTCGATGAGGTCAAGCGCCTCCAGAAGCAGATCCTGGAAGTGAAGTCCTGTCTGAAGAACAAGACCAAGGAGGCGGCCGAGCTGCCCATGGTCATCTGTGGCAACAAGAACGACCACAGCGAGCTGTGCCGCCAGGTGCCCAGTACCGAGGCTGAGCTGCTGGTGTCCGGGGATGAGAACTGCGCCTACTTCGAGGTGTCGGCCAAGAAGAACACCAACGTGGACGAGATGTTCTACGGGCTCTTCAGCATGGCCAAGCTGCCCCATGAGATGAGCCCGGCCCTGCACCGCAAGATCTCCGTGCAGTACGGCGACGCCTTCCACCCCAGGCCCTTCTGCATGCGGCGGGTCAAGGACATGGGTGCCTATGGCATGGTGTCGCCCTTTGCCCGCCGCCCGAGTGTCAACAGTGACCTCAAGTACATCAAAGCCAAGGTCCTTCGGGAGGGCCAGGCCCGTGAGCGGGACAAATGCACCATCCAGTGAGCAGGAGGGACGCGGGGGTGGGGCATGGGCAGTGCCTTCGCGAGGCGGCCCCAGATGCCCGCTGCCCGCGTCCTCCCCCACCCTGCCTAACGAGACCCCGACACCCCGACGGCCGTGCAAAGGGCCCTGGCACCAGACTGCGGGACCCCAACCTCTGACCTCTGTAGGTTCTGCCGCCTTCTCGCCACTTCCCCCTGATTCTGCTTTTCAGAGCCCCCCCTCCCCCGCCCCCTGCCTTCAGCTCCTCCGTGCAGGGCCGGAAACAAGGTTGGGAGACGTCTGGACTCCGAGCCGGAGCTGAGCCGGAGCTGGCCCGTCCTTGGGGTCACACGAAGTGCTGATGCTGGAGGGGCCAGACTCCCTACCTTGACGGAGCATCCTGGAACGGTTGGGGGGGACGAGCCCGGAGCCAGGTGGGAGAGGTCTCCACTGTGCTGGACCCGAGCCCCCGCCCCCTCCCCGCCCCGGCGTCCCTGACGACGAGCCCCGGCGGCCAGGTGTTGGAGGGGGCGTGGCCACGCTCCAGGCCACGCCCACCGCGGCACCGCCTCCCTCCGCCTTCTGCCTCGCAGTTTCTTTCCTCCCGTCCGTCCGTCCGTCCGTCCGCCCGCGGGTGTGCTTTGCAGCTCCCGCTGTCCTCGCGTCCCGCTGTCCTCGCGTCGTGCTGTCGTGCCGTAGCTGTAGGAACGGAAATCCTTGTACTGTAAAGCCTCCCCCGCCTCTTCGGCCAGGCCCCGCCCCGGTTAGACCCGCTGCCTCTGCTGGGCGCAGCCCCCGCCCCCGATCCCAGCCGACCCCGGCCTGCCTGCAGCAGGACACTGCCCTCCGTTCGGAGCTTCACAGTTTACACTCGCGCAGACGGGGCGGGCAGGCTGGGGCTGCTGCGCCCGGGCCCCCACCCCACCCCACCCCGTGTCACAGAGGAGGCAGCTGAGACTCCGGGGGGCGGGGGTGGCAGGCCGCAGCCCACCCCACCCCACCCGGTTCAGGGCAGAGCTCTGCCTAGAACTACAAGGCCGTCTTCTACTGTGCTCGTTCCTCAAGCATTAATTGAGCATCTGTTGGGTGCTGGGTCCACTGTGTGCTAGGAAACAAAGAGGGTGAGCAGTGCACTTTATTCCCCCCAGGCCAGGCCTTTCCCCAGCCTCGGCTTGTTCCCTTGGCCTGTTCCCTCACCCGCATGGCCTGTGCCCACCCCGCCTCCCTGCCCCACTGCCCTGTGGGCTCACCGCTGTTGGGGGGGGGGGTGCAGGAGGGAGCTGAGCCCGGAGAGGTAGGTGGGAAGGCTCCTTGCGGGTCCCTTCCTTGTACCTGGCTCTAGACAGCTGCATACCAGGTGTGGCACCTGGTGTGGCACCTGTAGACCAAAGGTCTTGTCAGAAGCCCTTAACACATACATTTTGTATCCTAATCTCCTTTAAAATATTGAGATTTAGGGCTACGAGGAACCTTAGTGATCATCTGGTGAATCTTTCCAAGGCCCAGAGAGGGTGAGTAACTCACTGGCTCCAACCCACACACAGCAAGCCTGTGAGTGGCAGAAACAGGGCTTAGTGTGAAGCTTCCTTAGCCCCCCAGGGAGGTGGGGGGCGCCTTCAGAAACTGGAGGTATTTTCCCCTGACCCTCTCTCTAGCTCAGTCCTTGGGGGCTCCTGTAACTTCTGTGTACGTCACTCCCGGGTATGTCCGTGTACAGGTAAACACGAAGATACACACGTACCCCAACTCCCATGCCGCAAACTCTGTACCTCTACCCTGGCACTTGCTGCTCCAGGCAGCAACTCTGACCCTGCTTCTGTGCCCTCGTTTGGCCCCAGCCTGAACCCTCTCAGCAGACGGGGTATCATGGTCAGGACAGGTGTGTGGCCTGGTCCCACCCCGTGATGTCCCCACTGCCCCAGATCTCTGTGTACGCTACCAATTAAAGTGGGTTTGTTTCTAAGCTGTGTCCTTGACCGTGTGAATTTTCTGTATTTTCAAAAGGAGGGATGCTTCTTCCTCCAACCAGAGCTGGCCTTGCCCTCCTTAGATTGTATCTGCCTGGTGCCCTTGCCACAGTAGCAGCACCGAGTCAGTCCTCAGGTTTAAATATGTGGGGCAGGGGCACCCCCAACAGGAGGTTGTGCCTTGTGCCTCTTGGCCTTGCCCTTCTGGGCCTTCTGGGAGGTGTGTGCCGAGTTGTCAGTGTCCCTTTGGAGGGGTAGCAGGTTCAGAAAAGAGATCCCCCCATCCCTGCCACCCCATAGACCATCAGCCCTTTGGGGCCACTATATGTCTGAGTTCAGTGTGGCTCCTGTAGACCATTGATTTTGCTCCAGGAATGTTTGGCATTGTTTGGAAACATTTTTGAATCCCCGAGACTTGGGTGGGAAGTACTGCTAGCATCCTGGATAGATGCCAGGGATGCTACTAAACCCTCAAGAAAGAGCTGTCTGACCCCATCTGTCAGTAGTGGGCAGCCTCAGTTGGATGGTTGGACCTCAAGGTCAGGACAGAGCCCAGGTCTGTATGGTTGATCTGATGTACAACTTCTGGACAGTATTTAATAAACACAGGGCAAGCAGAGTGAGCCCTCTTGTGAAATGAGGCAGGATGTGGGTGGGGATAGGTGGAGACAGAAGGACAAGGTCTTATGTCTGCCACTCTGAACCTATAACCCTAGACCATAGCTCTCCCTGGGTAGAGGGGAGAGGAGGGGACCAGCCTCACACCTGCTGTGAGCTTTACATTTCGAGTCTCGTGCCACCCTCCCATCATGAGAAACCTGCTCCTCACGGTCATCCTGTGGTCCCTACCTCTCCAGGATGGCATAGCTGGTGCTGTGGCAGAGAGGGGATTCCCAACCGGAGGCCATCTCAGCTTCATGTGGGTGAGGAAAGGATTTTGCATCGATGGTCTGTGCTTTTGATCAATCAGCAAATGCCACGAAGCATGGAGGTGAGGGGGCTCGCAACTCAGAGGGAGAGAGCGCTGTGCAGACATTCACAAAGCAAGGTGAGCCTACCTGTGGTGGAAGCAAGCCCAGGTGGGCCTGGGGTGTGGGGGAGCAGGAGGAGAGCTCCCCCCTCTGCCTCCGAGGGAGCCCAGCTCCCCTCCTATCTTTTACCGACACTAGGCAGAGAGGCTAAGCGTAGGAGGCAGATCACTGACCCTTTCCCAGTCCTGGTCTTTGTAAATGTGAGACACCGAGCCCAACAGGGCCTCCTGCATTACAGGGCCAGCACTGTACCCTAAGAAGGGCTAGCAGGGCTGCAGCTGGGCTCACCAAAGCAAGCCTTCCCCTGTGGGTCAAGCCTGGGCCCCCTCTGCCACTCCCTCCCTCCACCGGGTCTGTGAATAAGTCTTGTCCTTTCCCAGACTTCAGCTTCTTCATCTCTAAACAGGAGGTGGGGACAGAACAGTGGGACCAGACAACACACCAACAGCCCCTTGCAACCCTATGTTCCCTGCAAGAGGGAATTAAGATTCCTATTACGTAACCTGCCACATTCCGCTCGTTGCTAAACAGAACACGCTTGCTCCGGTCGGGGCCCAGCCCCGGCTCCCCGCATCCCCTGGGCTCGCCCTGGGCGTGGGTTAGTGAGCACCGGGCTGGCTGCGGCAGAGGGGGAGACTTGCCCCACAGACCTCTGTTTAGCCCTGGGACAGAGGGTAGAATAGGATTGTAGGAAAATTCGCCCCCAGCGAGACCATCCAGAGACAAGCGCGGGCCGGCGGGCTCAGTCCCAACCGGAGGACAGGAACACTGGGAATCGGATTTCAGAGAATTCTGCACTGCGAACTCCAAGTGCTTATTCTGTTCCGCCTCCCTGAACCTGTCACTTACTCAAAGGAAAAACTTCAGGCTGGGTCACGGCTTGGTGGGGCTGATGGGAGGCCAGCTGGGGCTCAGCAGCAAAGGCTGCTGGGAGTATGGGGAGGGAGGGAGGGCTGGCCTTTGCTGAAGACCTACTGTGCATTGAGCACCGTGCTGGGCCTGACACCTGCAGCCTCTCGTTGGATCCTGGTGGCAAAGCTGCATGCGAGGATTATGAGTCCCTTTGTACTTTACATCCGAGGGAACCAAGGCTCAGAGAGGTGAAGCCACTTGCCCAAGGTTGCACAACTGTAAGTGGCAGAGCTGAGCTAGAATCCACGTCTCATTGCAAAGCACGTTATCTCCCCAGAGTTTTCCTAACTGAGTTGACTGAGGGGCTGCTGGAGGGAAAGGCAGGCAGGCTGAGGGGTGCCATCTGAACGCAGTTCAGCGACTTTGAACAGATGTCGTTCATAGGGAGGTAGATGCTCTACAGCTCTTTACAAAAGGCCCAGCCACTGTAACAGAACTTGACTTCTGTTTCCTGGGAACTTCTGAGATGAGTGTGCTAGGCCGGCTGGGGGCAGTGGGGGCCAGGCTCTGCCCCCCTCCAGTCATTCAGGCATCCAGGTTTCAGGCCAGGCTGTCCCACCTCTAGGACCCTGTCACCATCTGCAAGATCAAAGTCTCCACCACATTCACATTCAGCCCTTAGGGGAAGAGACTGCAGGGATGCCTACCTGCTGCTCTCAGAGCCTGGACACATCCCTCCCCCCACTTCCCCTGGCCAGGCTCCCCAGTGAGAAGCACCAGGAAACGCAGTTCCTTGCCAGGTGGCCCCGGGCCCAGTGGCACCTCCGCCTGGAGAAATGGGAGAGGGCATCTGGCTGGCCAGCTAACGGTCCCCTCCTCCCGGCACCCTCACTCGTGGGTGCAAGGCTTCAAGGGCACCTTGTGCAACCTGACTTCACTCAAAAAGCAGCTTGACCTCCCACTGCTTCCTTAAGGAGGATCTGGGCTTTATTTCCACCCCCACCCCCGTCGCTTGATAAAAACTTGGACTGTCCCGTGATTTTTCTCATCTATACCAAGGCACTTCAGGTGGCAGGAGCAGCCTCAATTAAACATCCCTTTGACCCACATCATGATGATGGATGGACACTTCAGTCTTTAGGCAAAGGAAAGACACTTTCTCTTCCACCCCCTCCCCCCAGCTGTGGTCTGCTCACACAAAAAGATAGAAATTGAGGAAGAGCAGGATGGGCAGGATGTCTTTTTCTTGCTCTCTGGCTCCCCTTTTAGCTAATTTCAGTTTCTCTTTCCGCTGTCCTCCATCCTTGGGAGGTGGGTCTGGGGGTGAAGGTGGGGGGAGAAGGTCAGAGGCACAGGAAACTTCTAACTGGCCTGGTACTGTGGTGTCTCGGGAAGACAGTGTCAAGCTCAGAGCATGGGAGATGTTTAACAATGACATTAGAACTGCAGGCATAATTCTGTGGATTTTCCTGACACGATCCCACCATCCCTGGCAACGGCTCACCTGCGCCCAACCTGACGTGAGTTCTGTGCATTTTCATGTGGGTTGCCTGCTAGGTCCTTCTGCAGCCTCTAAGAATGTTCTAAAACCTGTCTGTTTCCTGTGCTGTGGCCTCTTGCCCCTCCAGAGGGCTCTGTTGGATGGGGTTTCAGGCATCCCCCTGACAACTTTCTCTCGAGGTTTTCCCACATCTGGTCCATATGAAACTCACATCCTTGGCCCCCATCAACTTTAAGAATATAAGCTGATGTGAGTTCAGTGAGGATCTCTGGCCTCTAACTCAAATGGTCTATCACCCATTAGATTTATCAGGCAGAGGACAAACAGGACAAACAGTGGTCCACAGAGCCCTCAGCTAAAGGGACATGCATCAAGCACTCTAGGTTTAAAATAGGGGCAGGCACTCCCACAGCATGCTACATAGCGCTCTTAGAAAAGCCTCTTTCCCAAAACACCCTCTCAACGACCGACTCTTTCCTATCTTTGACATAGGTGAGAAGCCTGAGAGTCAAGAAGCTGGGTCTTGGCCAAACATGTTGAAACTTTTGCCTTTGGTTTGGCACCTGGCTTTGGAACCTGAGACCAGTCTTGCTAGGGTGCTAGGGTCTCGGCAGAAATGTAGGGGAGCAGGCCAGGGCCACCTGCTGGGCAGGAGGGAAGCTGGAGATTGGACTCAGGGAGGAACTCCAGCCTCGCCTAGGAAAAAGAACACTGCCCAGGGCCAGGCTGGGCCTCCATACCCATCCGTCCTTACTTGAAATGTTGGTATTTTGTTCATTGGGGATATCTCAGTCCATTCAGGCTGCTATAACAAAAATACCATAAATTGAGTATTAAGGATAGACCCATACTGCAACATAAACTGACTTATAAAGGATAGAAATTTATTTCTTACGGTTCTAGAGGCCCAGAAGCCCAAGATCAAGGTGCCGGCAGATTCTGGATCCAGTGAAGCCTGCTTCCTGGTTCAAAGATGGCAGTCTTCTCACCATGGGCTCACATGGTGGAAGGGACGAGGAAGCTCTCTGGAGTCTTCTTATTTTATTTATTTATTTATAAAGATTTTATTTACTTATTCACGAGAGACACACAGAGAGAGGCAGAAACACAGGCAGAGGGAGAAGCAGGCTCCCCGTGGGGAGCTCGATGCGGCACTTGATCCCAGGATCACGAGATCACTCCCTGAGCCAAAGGTTAATGCTCAACCACTGAGCCACTCAGGTGCTCCTGGAGTCTTTTGTGTATAAGGGCATTAACCCCACTCATGTAGTTTCCACCCTCATGACCTCATCACTTCCCAAAGCCCACCCCCATCCTCTCCAAATACCATCACACTGGGAGTGAGGTTTCAACATATGAATTTGGGGGGCGCACAAATATTCAGTCTATAGCAGCAGATTTTTCACATTACTATTTATTTTTAAAATTTTTTACATGAAAATATTTAGGCTTGATTCCTGAGTGTTTGGGCAGCTCTCTAAATTCTGCCCCACAGCCCGAGTGGCTCAGCAGTTTAGCGCCTGCCTTTAGCTCGGGGTGTGATCCTTGAGACCCGGGATTGAGTCCCACATCGGGTTCCCTGCATGGAGCCTGCTTCTCCCTCTGC